ATATATATATATATTTGCTTTTTAAAAATTAATATACTCTGGATTAACTTTATGGTATTTATAGAGATACTCCTCATTCTTTCATAGCTGTATGGTACCTATGAATGTGTATAATCTGTTCATGCAATCTTCTATTGATAGATTTTAGGGGTTGTTTGCTGTCCTTGATAGGCTGGCTTTTTTCACCTCAATAAATTTATTTTAAAAATAAAAATATTACTATCTTAACATGGAAAATGGATATTCTTTGCTATGTTTATAAATTAGATGTATAAGTTCACAAAATAAAAACAGGATTTTTAAATTTAGTTCTTTCCTGTTACTTCTTGATCTTTATTTGTTACAGCAGTGAGAATAACAAGTGATTTTGTTAAACGAGCGTACAGACTTTCTTTCTAATGTGATTGTGGCAGCGGTCACTTAAAAGAAACTGACTTGCAGTGTGTGAACTTTTCACCTTGGGAGGGTCTGTCCTACTGTAGAGAGAGGGTAAAAGATCATAGGTGATGGTGTTGGGTTCTGACTGTGCTTGGCTAGTCAGAGCACCATCTCCTCTGATGCTCCCCACAAATGACAAGGTAGGGTCTTCTACTCACATTAAACAAGGGCAGAAAGGAAGGTTTATTATTCTGGGTCCCTTCACTCATAAGTGGAGATTTGGGCTGGACCAGAGTCTGTGCTGATGCTGAAGCCCACGCTTGCCAGTGCTGTGCTGCACAGCTTCTCAGAGCTTTCTCTGCAGGGAAGGGCAGTGAGATGTGATACAGACAGGACTGTTGGTGAAGACCAAAGATCTACTGTGATGCACAAACCTATTAGATCCTGTTTGTACTTAACTATATTGATGTTTGAAGCTTGGTTTCTTCACTTCCAAAATTGGGCTGATTCTAATCATATATCTCAAGCTTGTTTTGAGAATTTTGCACTGTATAGTCTCATACATCTTTATTTTGAAATTTTTAATTTATTCATTACTTCATTCAGTCAAACTATATTCAGTAATTCCTACTTAGCAGATGTTTCCTGTGAGCTGCAGAGGACACAATGTTGAAGTACAGACAGACGTCTCATACAGACCCTTTCAGCATAGCAATGGCTAGAAAGCATGAGCTCTGGAATCAGAAAGGTAAGAATTCAAATTCTGGTTCTACTACTTCTACATTAGAAGTTGAGCAGGTTCTCTATTTAAAAAAAAATCTTAAAAAAATCTTCCCTATATAAAGTGTAGACAATTATACTTAACTGTATGTATGTGGTATTGCGTGGTTAACTCAGACAATGAATATGGAGTCTGTTAATATATAGCTTTTTAGAGAACATTTATATATAATATAATATCATTTATAAAGCCTATCCAGAAAGCATAAATATGTATGAAAATGTCTGCCACAATCCTGTGGTGATAAATTTTAAAAATCAGTATATGTACCATTGCCAAGATAGTATTCATAGTAATTACAAATGAACTAGAAGTCCATAATCAAACAAACCCAGGAGAAATTAAGCATAATGAATCTTGCCCTGAATGATTAAGTTTCAAGCTCATTGAAAATTTAATTTGGTGATTCTGTAATACTTTGACTTCATGGAACAGATTCTTAATTTGTTAAAGCTCAGGGTAATTTGTAAATGAACTCCTAAGAAGCAGACGTCTATAATATTCTTAATTAAGTTTACTACATGATATATTTGAGAGGGAAAATACAGCCCTAACATAATTAAGAACTCTCTATTAAATGTACAACCAATCTCTGGAAGCACATACAGAGACATAAGTAGGATAAAAATAGGATATTTTCTAGGCCCAATGTTATGGTAAAATAATCAATCTACATAAGAAAAGTTTTTACTCTTTCAGGGAAAATTAACTTTTCCAGAGAAAGCAGGGCAGATAGAATGAGTGTCCTGAATTTTAGAGCCCCAGAAGAGCTTGTGATTCATATAATCTACAAAAGCAGTTGATTTAAAAATTAGTTTACTGGATTAGAGGATAACTGTATTTTTAAAGAAAAAGCATCAATCAGTTGACATATTCAAATGCAAGTTTTGATTTTCAGAAAAATAAATTTTTTTCACTATTAATGCATTAATTAATGCACTATTAATCCTGGTAGGTGGGTTTAACACAGAGATTTAACATTCTAATAAAATTTGATTTTAAATCATACTTGATAATCATATAAATCTGTCTTCATTCATTCACTTATTTCTAAAACACCACTTAGAGACTGCAGTATACCATGCTTGTTTCAGGCCAAGCGGAAGCAAAATCTAATAGGTAGCTCTTCTTACTTTGCTCAATCTGGCAATTGAATCAGCTGTATGGGCCACTAATTACAAGACACTATAAGGTTTTTTAAAGGTTCAGTGTTGACACGAAAAAGGTTGTGAGATAATCTCAGGCAGTTAGGGTTAGGGCAGATTTTGCCAATGACCTTGAGTTTGACATGATGGCTTCTGTTAGCTCTCCATTACTCTAACAAAATGCCTGAGATAAATCAACTTAAAAAGAGGAAAGTTTATTTTCATGGCTTTGGTTCACACTCAACTGGCCTTTTACTTTTGAGCTTGTGGTGAGGCAGTATATCAAGGTTGGAGCATGTGCTAGAAGTAACCCCACCTCGTGGTGGGCAGGAAGCAAAGAGAATGGGAAAGGAGGGGCCAAGGTCTCAATATCACACTTAAGAACATACTCCAGGGATCCAATTTCTTTCTTCTAGGATCCACATCTTAAAGGTTTCATCACCTCTCATAGCATCATGGGCTGGAGGCAAAGAATTCAACACAAGAGCATTTGGAGAGCTTTCAAGATTCAAACTATAGTATGGCTAGCAGCTGGTGGGAAAGATGGGCTCCAAAGATAAAAGTGCGTACTTTAACTTGTGAAACCACCAAAATGAAGACAATTTTTCTTTGACTGAATGAAGTTTGAATGCATCTGCAGTTTTTTTTATGGGTGGAAAGAGCTAGAAACAATGGAGAGTGATAGACAAGGTTAGCAAAAGTGTGAGGAACCATGTAGTCATGAGAGCTATTTGAGTTTTATCTCTCATACGGAGCCAACCATTAATCTATGTTAGCAGGAGAATGACGTGATCAGTGGCAGCCATGAAGGTGGTAGACTAAGTGGTTTATTTATTTATTTATATTCATTAAATTTATTGGTACATTTTAGGTATACAGTGTGATGACAGTCATCATTGGGAAATTGTACCTTTACATGGTATCTCTTGGTTCTTATTTTTTCCCCATTCCCTGACCTCCCTTCAACCTCCCTACAAAGACATTATTTCCATTGTTTCCTTTTCTCTTATTTATTTCCTTTCCTTATTTTCTTTCCCTTACCTCTCCCACCTCCCCTTCCCCTTTAGACCTTTTCTACCTTTTTCACATTATCTATTATACATTTTGATCCTTATTTACACTTTCAGTTTCTCAAACCAACTATTCAGTATTTATATATGTGTCCTATTTATTTCACTTAAGAGTATGCCTCAATGTGCATCCATTTAGCTACAAATGTCTCTAGTTTCTCATTCTTTATGGCTGAGCAGTACTCTATTTCATAAAAGAACCACATCTTCTTCTTTATCCAGTCTCCAGTCAGTGGGCAATTAGGCTGTTTCCAAGTTTCAGCTATTACAAACTGCTGCTATGAACATGGGTGCACATATATATCACTGTAGTATGATTCTTTTAATTCTTTTGGGAAGATACCCAGCAGGGTAATAGCTGGGTCAAATGGGACCTCCAATCCTAGTTTTCTGAGGTGTCTCCATATTGATTTCCTCAGTGGTTGCACCAATCTTTACTCCCACCAACAATGGAGAAGGGTTCCTTTCTCCCTACAACCTTACCAGCATTTGTTACTAGTTAATTTGTTTGTTTTTTCATTGAGTTTATTGGTACATTTTAGGTATACAGTACAGTTACATTCATCATTGGGATCTTGTACCTCTACATGACAGGTCTTGGTTCTCATTTTTTCCCCTTATTCCTGCCCTCCCTTTGCCCCCTCATCCCCTCCCTATTTACAAACACTTTATTTCCATTTTTTAATCTTCTCGTATTCTTTCTTTTCCCTTATTACCTTTCCCCTACCCTTCCCACTTTGCCTACATCTTTAGCCCTTTTCTTCCTATTTCACATTGTCAATTATCACATTAGGATTATGTACTATTTCCCTACAACCTTACCAGCATTTGTTACTAGTTAATTTGTTTGTTTTTTCATTGAGTTTATTGGTACATTTTAGGTATACAGTACAGTTACATTCATCATTGGGATCTTGTACCTCTACATGACAGGTCTTGGTTCTCATTTTTTCCCCTTATTCCTGCCCTCCCTTTGCCCCCTCATCCCCTCCCTATTTACAAACACTTTATTTCCATTTTTTAATCTTCTCGTATTCTTTCTTTTCCCTTATTACCTTTCCCCTACCCTTCCCACTTTGCCTACATCTAGAGCCCTTTTCTTCCTATTTCACATTGTCAATTATCACATTAGGATTTTATGTACTATTATAGTTTTTCACACCAGAGAAAATACTCGGTATTTACACGTGTGACTTATTTATTTCACTTAGCAGCATATCCTCAATATATATCCATCTTGATAGCAGCCACTCTTTCTGGAGTGAAGTGGTCTTTCAGTGTTGTTTTCATCTGCATTTCTCAAATGACCAGTGATATCGAACATTTTTTCATATGTTTATTTGCTGCATTTACTTGTTTGTCTGAGCAATGTCTGTACATTTCAGATGCCCATTTTTGAACTGGGTCTTTAAATTGGAGGGGGTCTGATTTTTTAAAGTTCTTTGTATATTCTAGATAGTAGTCCTTTGTCTGAGGAGCAGCTGGTAAAATTTTTCTCTCACATTGTAGGGTTTCTGTTAGATGAGAGTCACATTTTAGAGCCTGAGTATAATGTTCCCTTTGTGTATCAAGTGATAATCATAGCAGCTCAGTTAATTTTCTCTAGAATCAGATTTTGAGACATAACTTCTTCAAGGATTTTTCTTTTCCTATTTTCTTTGGGGTGATTATTCCACCAGTCATCTTGGAGGAATATTTCAAACTCAATGTTCCCACTTTCTATTCACCACTGAAAATTATTAGTTTAAGTGTAGAAATGTGCCAAAAATAATATTATAGACATGCACATACCCATTGTAAGGCTTAATAAAGGTCACATTTAACTGTCTTTGATTAAACAATTTTAAAGTGAAAATTTTCCAAAACAGCTAAAACATCCTTTTTTTTTTAATTGAGTTTATTGGTACATTTAGGGATACAGTACAGTTACATTCATGTTGGGATCATGTACCTTTACATGGCAAGTCTTAATTCTCATTTTTTCCCCTTACCTCTGCCCTCCCTTCACCCCCTCCTCCCCTCCCCATCTACAAACACTTTATTTTCCTCTTTTCATTCTCTCACATTTTTTTCTTTTCCCTTTTTGTTCTTCCCCTACGTATCACACCTTCCCTACACCTTTAGCTCCTTTCCTCCCATTTCTAAATGTCAGTAATCTTATTAGAATCTTATGCATTGTTGCAGAATATTCACACCAGGGAAACTATTTGGTATTTACACATGTGGGACTTATTTATTTCACTTAGGAGTATATCTTCAATATGTATCCATTTTCCTATGAATGAATCTATTCTCTCGCTCTTTATGGCTGAGTAATATTCCATTTTATAGAAAAACCACAACTTC